GAAATCATTTTTAATGCTTGCGATATCCGAAGGTCGTAAAAGTAAATGCAAATAAAATCCTCGTCATCTAGAACGCTTAAACATATTTAAATTGTTAAAAAGCTTTAAGCTTAATAGTTCATGTCTACCTTTCCTAACAAGGACATTGCCTAAATCTGTAAACATTGTTTTTGCTGTCAGCATTGAAAATGGTGGAAATGATGTGAAGATTTCAAACAAAATGAGCAAAACTTGTTTGGTAGTTTCAAACTTTATTTTCATGAAATAGTAAGTATTGAATCAATTTTGAAATAGATACATAACTATAAACTGTAAAAGCACACAACAACGTATTTCGTTTAAGCACAGTAATTTCTTTAAAAATTCATGTACATCTAAATAAAAATATAAAGGGTTTATAAAACGTAACCTGGTATTAATTTACAACAAAAGTTTTGATAATTTACTCGAGCAAATAAAAGAAATGTCAAAAAAAATTGCACAACCATTCTAATAGTTTTATTTTAATGTTCAAAATTGTGTTTAGGACACTTAATTATTGCAGAGTTTCAAGTGGAATCACATCAAATCAGGCAGCAGCTTTCTCTTACTTCCATGCAAACAGTAATATTCAACACAACATTACCACGGAAATTTAAGATATTTAATCCATCTTATTATCAAATTATTGAAGCTAGTATTTCTTTTAAAAAAATAAATATCGTCAAGAAGACAAAGATTGGTTCCTCCTTGTCACTTAGATGCCTATTAATTGTTACTGTGACACATGCTCACAAGCTGAAGATGGATGTATCACCTATACACAACAAACATACCGTTACCTTAATAGTCTTTCTAAATTTAATAGGAGTTAATCAGTTATTGCAATAAGTTGGCGATACATTATTCACAGTTTAAAAAGAAAACATTCTTCGGATAATATAGCAAACATTATTCGCAGGTATAAGGCAAACAATATCAAACAAATATAATATACGCATCTTTAACATAAACATTTTTTCTTCAATTTCCGTTGAAATTAACAATATTTCTATGAAAAATGATTCAGATGGTTCCGTTTTTTGTTGTTGTTTTTGTTTTTTTTTCTTGAAAATTATAAAAAATAAGTTCAATAATTACACACCCTTCCATCTTTACAAAGTTCAGCCTAATGGCAAATTGTCTCATTTAAAAGAAGCTTATACTGCTTATTTCTGTTAGAAAGATTTATTTTCCATTACTCGATTTCACCCAGGTCTGAGATGGTGGAATAATTCCTTGGGACCATTAAATGGGCCATCATTGGCAGATTGAAAGGCTCCAAAAAGGAAATGACAAGATGGCTTCTAGTAGCTCAATAACAGTCAAGGATCTGTGGTTGTAAAGAAATTATATAAGCTGAATGTGAGGGTGACGAAGGCACCCCTAGAAAAAATTGTTGAGCATTCTTTCGTTAGTTATACTTTGCATTAATTTGCATTAAAATAATGACAGGTCTACATGATGTGAATCGGCTCAAGTGAAAAAACTGAAGACTATAGTAAGACTTATTGATGAAAAAAATAAATTCACAAAATGAAGACAAGATGTTGAATTTCGTGGAAAAGACGACGAAATCAATTTTAAAAGAAGAGGAAGACAAAATGACTTTCCATTTTGCTTATCTTGAAAGGATGATATCAGAATGCAAACTTGAGGATGAAAAGTCACTCAAAGCTCTTCCTAAACGAACAGAGAAATACAGCGATAACAAGTCCTGCACCAGTCATGTGGAGAAGAAATTTCAAAATATCTGGATAGATAACAGAAACAGATGGGCTAGGTTTGGTGTCTTTAAACCGCCAGATAAGAAATGGCATTGAGAAAGGACACACTGAGGCAGAGATAATTGAAGGTGTTATAACGTATAATACACCTGGAGTTAAATTAAGAAGTTATCCAGAGGGCAAAGAAGTACTTATGCTAACATAATTTAGGGGCATATTAATTTCACATTTCAAAGAACAAACCCCAACTGAACTATACAAAATATTATACAATGTTACACAAGGAATCCAAGAGTCAGTAACTGAGTTTGTAATGCAAGCGTTAGATCTTCGTCAAAGGGTGTTGGCAGCTTCAACATCAGAAGATGCGGTGTCGTAGTATTGGTAGAGAGGATGTTGTTTTTTCTCAAGGCTGTTGCAACAGGTCTACGCAAAGACATTAAAAGACAAAGACTCGAGACTATTTTACTCCCAGGAGTGTCTGACGTAGAGATACTCAAGACATTGAACGATATAACCCTTAATGAACTGGCACATAATGCAAAGACAAAACCTACACTAGCGGAGGTTAAGGTACGTGAGAATAAAGCAATGATAGAGCTATAAGCACAAGTCAAAGAGGTAAAGGATTATGTCTTACAAATGAAAGAGTCAAATAACCAAGTTGGAAAGCGCAAAAAAAGAGAATGCAAGTATGCGAAATCCACAAAAATTTGAAAGGTGTTAGGATGGAGATAAATTATGTACTCACTGTTTTAAGTGTGAATGGGATAAATACTACGTGAGAGGATGTAAAAGAGCTTTAAATATGAAGGGGTTATTGGAGCAAGGGGTGCAATGACCAGTGACATTAATGGGAGACAACCCCTAAAATGTACAATTGACCACCTTGAGGACATCAAATCCAAAATAGCATCATAAGAAACAGAGAGCAGTGTATATGGTACCCACATTAAGGCAGAGAGAAATTGATTTATATAGTAGGAAAAGAGTATTTTATTGACTGCTTATAAGATAACGTGCAATTTGCGGTCTTGTGGTATCTCTTCCCATCTAAACGTCTACCGATATTTAAGGCTGAAATAAGACCATTGTTTGAAATTGTATGTGTTAAAGCCGCTACAGGGGATGAAATTCCATTTGAGGGATGAGTGGAATTATCATTATTAGTAGACCATAGATATTGCATGAAAGTGTCTCTCCTTGTTACAAAGCATAATTCTATTCAAAAACCAATTCTAGGGTTTAATGTTATATCATATTAAAAGGAGAGTTTTGGAGATAATTTTTCTTAAGGATTAGTACAAGGGATAAAGAGTTTGTCTATGGAAAAAGCTCGAAATGTTTGTCGGATCTTGAATAAGACACCTATCTATGATAAAGAAACCTATTTCCTGCTTATTCCACTCGATGGATCAGAGCAACAGTTCATTAAAATGTAGTTCATGAAGAATACAACTAGGCATGTTGTTTAAGGCTATTATATAAAGAGAAAGTATTTTCTTTTAATACCTTACAGAAATATCTAAAAGCTAAAAATATTTTCAGAAAATATATCATCATTATCCATTATCATCAAAGTATATACACTTATCGCATAAAACAGAACAATTGTGCACTATATATACTTTGCATTGTACTTAAAAACATAATTGAAGGCAACACAATATGTATATCACAAATAATGAGTATTAACATTTATATGATAAAAACAAACAAGAGCCACCGACTGGCGGGGGGCAACGCTCGACTTTTTTTTCTTTTCTAAAAACAAACAAATAAACGGTTTGAACAAATCTTAACGTTTCCTTATAATAATCTAAATAGGTCTGTCATGTCACACTAGTTTTCTCAGTATGAGTCCTTTTCATAAATAAATGACAATGTTTAGAAAATATTATCAAAATTCAAAAGAAAAAAAATATTGTTTTTATATATATTGAGATAAAAAGATCAACAAACTTTGCGGAACGATTTTGTTTTCAAAAAAGTTTTTAGTTTGTTCTCCTTTGTTTTATACATGTATTTATTATTAGTTTATTTCTAATTAATTAATTAATTTATTTATTTATTTATTAATTAATAATTTTATTTATTTATTTATTTATTTATTTATTTATTTATTCACACTAACTTTTTGTAATGATTTTTAGTTCATTTTGTTTTTGTTTTTCTTGTGTTTTTTTTTTTGTTGTGTTTTGTTTTTTGTTTTTTACATTTTTTTTTTTTTGCTTTATTTTATTGTTTTTGTTTAACATAAAAATAACAAGTTGCATTAAAAATCTGAATCTGAAAATACAAGATAAAATACAAAACAACATTGTCAAATGAAACAGCACCAGGCCTTTTCTACAATACTAAAAAAAATCACACCATATCTAACCAAAGTTGTTGACAATATTTTTTAATTAAACTAAGAATTTATGTTCAGTGTATTATTCAATATAACCCAATCGGGAAATGAAAATTGACAATATCTGATGTTATAGCAGATGTTATAAAATACATTTTATAAACTGTAAATCCCTACTAAATTTACTGGTGGTAACAAATTCCACACTTGCTAACAGTACAGCCAAGATCAACTAGCAAAGTCATTCAACATATCAAGGAAAAATTTCAAAACATGCCGACTGAATAGCAAACAGAGCAGACTATAATCAGACAACATAAATGTAAGGACCTGATCTTTATGTCTACAGTGGTCGCATTGATAAATAAAGTTACGATCAGCAAGTTTTGAGTTAAGAACTAATTCAAAAACATTCTTGAATTAATTAATTGTTATATCATAATTTACAAGTCATTGACAGCAAATATTTAATAGACGACTGCTGACAACAAATATTCAATAGAGGACTGTTGACAGCAAAATTTTCAATAGAGGACTGTTGACAGCAAATATTCAATAGAGGACTGTTGACAGAAAATATTCAATAGAGGACTGTTAACAGCTAATATTCAATAGAGGACTGTTGACAGCAAATATTCAATAGAGGACTGTTGACAGAAAATATTCAATACAGGACTGATGATAGCAAATATTCAATAGAGGACAGTTGACAGTTAATATTCAATAGACGATTGTTGACAGCAAATATTCAATAGAGGACAGTTTAACTGTCATTTCATATCATATAAGCTAAACAGGCCATATAATGCTTTTCCATGAGATATAGATAAATATCAGTAAGATATAAGTCATATCACACTAATCAAAAACTGATTGAAATATAGTTTTTTAATACTGTTCTAAACATTGAAAGAAATAGAAAAAATATGAATATTTTCATAACATCAAAGAGGACATCATAAATCGTCATTTTCCGCCAATGTCAGTTACAAGTGACTAGTTTTATGGGGAAAAAAAATAAAACATGGCATAAGAAAAATTAGTTTGTTTCGATTAAATATGAAACATATCTCACCTCATATTAATTTTTTCTTATATTTTCATTCCCTATTGAGACTGTTTAAATATTTCAAAATTGAAAGTATTTTAAAATGAGATTTTCTGGGATATAGTCCATAATTACTACAGACCAACAATTATATATACTAGTACAAGTATTAGGTAATTAAAAGAAACTAAATCATACCAAATATATCAAATATCTAAAAATTTAAAATTTTACTTACAGTTTTTTCACATAAAAGTATGTACATTTTGTAAACACTATTTGATATCAATATGTATATACAAAAATTTATTACAAGTAAATTAATTCACATTCTTAAATTTGTTCAAAGTACACAATATAATCTCATTAATTTTGTACAACAAAAAATATATAATTAAATTTTAATAACAAAATGTTATATATGATAACATAAGTACATAGCACTGAGGGCTTAATAGAATTGTAGTGACATCAGTCAGCCCCCAAACAATTAACGGACTAGAGCAAAATGGACTTGAGACACAGGCTAAGGCCCCTTCAATGTTTGGATCTGACTGGGAGGTCACTATAATGCTACAAGGTCCAAGTACTGTGATCTCGTTCTTATATAATACTGCACTTTATTAAAACATACTGGTAAATTCCATCAAGAAACAAAATCATATTGTTTAAAAGCCAAATACCCAAGAAATGCTTTTATTTTTATTTCTCAAAAGAAATTTATATTAGGCGTTCTGATATGATTTCCACATAATTACTCAAATTGACACCTTATCAATTTTTTGCCTCTGTAGCTTTTTGATATGTACCATTACGTTGATTGAGTATTTTGTATGGAAGTCAAAATAATAATTTGTTTACATTTTTCTACTTTTCTGACAAATAATTTCATTTATCATTATAAATGTTACTTTCTTCAGATGATAAACATTTATTACATGCTTCTCAGTGGTTTATAGAGATATATCAGTGATATAAAACTGGAAATTTAGCTGTTTTAAAAAGTGAAATTATCAATTTGATAATTTCACAGTTTTGAATTTAAGCCCTTTACATTGTTTCAGTGAAATATCAGCATGCACAGTACTGGGAATCAACTTAATGATGTCACGTTGTAAATGACGTCATGCTGTATTATTATTTGGCACGCTTTTCATTCAGTATTAGGTTTAATGTCTTTTTAAAAAGTTTCTTTGCATATAATAAAAAGAAACTTTGTTTAGTTTAGTGTAAGGTCAAAATATATTTCACCTTGTGAACACCAAAAGTTCATATTTCACTCGTGGCGCAAAATATCCTCTATCTAACATGCTCTTAAACCATTATTTAAATGCTATAAAACTCATGTTTGCCTTTTCTAGAGAATGAAATATTTATTTGTTTTCTGAGGCATAATGTGCCAAAACTTTTACATGTATTCTTATGAAAACTGTTGATAGTCAGCTGCTAATTTTTAGCCTATTGACTATCATAAAAATTCTCGCTGTCATTATCATGAATAATAATAACTTAAAGTTTGCCCACACTTAAGATGGAACACATTTATGAAAGGTATAATAATACAATACTGCAGACATGTTATGATAATACCCAAACTTTACTGGGCAACAGACACTTCAATTGAAGTACATGATGTGTTTGGACAATTTTTGTTGAACCAATACACTTAAATTTTTGTTGAACCAATACATTTAAATTTTAATGCACAAATATGTACAAGTAGCAGTAACAATCCTAGAAAAAAAAGCAGGTCATATAGACCATTTCATATGTACATGTAGCTATAACTTAATTTAACACATTAAATAGTCTTGTTTTTCATGCTGATTTTCAGCGTAAATGTCAGACAAACAAAACAAAAAGTAACAGGACATTTTCATAATTACAAAGTCATGAATTAAACATTAAATACTCTACTGCAGTATAGGAGAAGAGAGTTTATTTGTTGATTTTTATGCTGTTTATTTGGCTTAAAAATTTTTTTTTAAAAAAACAGACAATTAAAAGTGAACATTAATTGAAAGGCAGCAAATTATATTTGCCTTAAACTATATATGACTTGTAAAATATATTTGTCAAAAAACAAAACAAGAGGGCCATGATGGCCCTGAGGTCGCTCACCTGTATATAGCCCCCCCCCCAACCCCCCCCCAACGTTGCAGGGCCAATTTAACCCTAGGGCTTTTATTTGCACAAACTTGGTAGACACCCATAAGAAGATGTTTCATGCTAAACATCTAAGCTCTAGCTCATTGGGCTTTTGAAAAGAAGATTTTTTTAAAGTTTTTACTATACACATATAGTTAAAAACAATGACACCCCTGGGGCCGGGCCAGTTTTGACCCCAGGGCTTTTATGTGAACAAACTTTGTAGACACTTACTAGAAGATGTTTCATGCTTAATATCTAAACTCTAGCTATTTGGGTTTTTTCAAAGAAGATTTTAAGTTTTTTGCTATACACATATAAAGAAAATCAATGACCCCCGGGGCAGGGCCAATTTTGACCCCAGGTCTTTTATTTGAACAAACTTTGTAGACACTCACTAAAAGATGTTTCATGCTTAATATCTTAACTCTAGCTATTTGGGTTTTTTCAAAGAAGATTTTTTAAGTTTTTTGCTATATACATATAAGGAAAATCAATGACCCCCGGGGCGGGGCCAATTTTGACCCCAGGGCTTTCATTTGAACAAACTTGGTAGACACTTATTAGAACATGTTTGATGCTAAATATCTTAGCCATAGCCCTTTGAGTTCTTTAAAAGAAGATTTTTTAAGTTTTTACTATATGCATATAGGGAAAATCAATGACCCCCCGGGGCGGGGCCAATTTTTACCCCGGGGCTTTTATTTGAACAAACTTGGTAGACACTTATTAGAACATGTTTCATGCTAAATATCTTAGCTCTAGCTCTTTGGGTTCTTTAAAAGAAGATTTTTTAAGTTTTTACTATATGCATATAGGGAAAATCAATGACCCCCTGGGGCGGGGCCAATTTTGACCCCAGGGCTTTTATTTGAACAAACTTGGTAGACACCTATTAGAACATGTTTGATGCTCAATATCTTAGCCATAGCTCTTTGAGTTCTTTAAAAGGAGATTTTTTAAGTTTTTACTATATGCATATAGGCAAAATCAATGACCCCCCGGGACGGGGCCAATTTTGACCCCAGGGCTTTTATTTGAACAAACTTGGTAGACTCCCATTAGAACATGTTTCATGCTAAATATCTTAGCTCTAGCTATTTGGGTTCTTTAAAAGAAGATTTTTTAAGTTTTTACTATATGCATAGAGGGAAAATCAATGACCCCCCAGGGCGGGGCCAATTTTGACCCCAGGGCTTTTATTTGAACAAACTTGGTAGACACTCACTAGAAGATGTTTCATGCCAAATATCTAAGCTGTAGCTCTTATGGTTTTTTAAAAGAAGATATTTAAAGTTTTTTCTTTCGGTTGCCATGGCAACCAGAGTTCTGCATGGAATTTAATTCTTTGAACAATTTTTAAAGGTGACCACCAAAGGAACATTCCTGTGAAGTTTGGATGAAATTGGCTTAGTTGTTTATGAGGAGATGTCATTTAAAGTAAAAGTTATGGACGGACGGACGGACGACAGACGGACGCCGGATGGACGCCGGACGAAAAGCGATCACAAAAGCTCACCCTGTCACTTTGTGACAGGTGAGCTAAAAAGTTGTTCTAGTGTTAATTGATTCTCTTTCTATTTCTCAGTAGAGGCTCATTTTCATCATCACTGGTGTCACTAGATTTTCCTGACTCTGAAACTGATCCTATTAGGCTCTCGGCACGTAACTTGTCTTTCCTGCTCAAGTTTAATATTCCACCCTGAAATTATAATATACATACGTAAATGACTTCTTTTACATACGTAAATGACTTCTTTTAAAGTGTACATAGATCACTTATTTAATAGTGCACATAAATTACTTCATTTACTGTGTACATAAATTACTTCATTTAAAAAGTACATATTAATGACTATATTTAAAGTGTACATATAATACTTCATCTAAAGTGTACATAAATTACATCAATTATTGTGAACATAAGTTGCTTCATTTAAAGTGTATATAAATTACTTCATTTATAGCATATATAAATTATTTCATTCATAGTATACAGATGTTACTAAATTTATAGTGTACATAAATTACTTCAATTAAATTGAACATAAATTACTTCATTTATTATAATTTACATTAATCACATTATTTATTGTGTACATAAATCACTTCATCTATAAGTGTACAAATTTCTTAATTTATATTGTATACAGTGATAATGTACATAAATTACTCCAATTTATGATGTACAAAGAATTACCTAATCTATCATGTACATAAATAAAGTCTTTTTTATAATGTTTACATTTACACAGATTACTTCATTTATTGTACACACAATTTTTACTTTATTTTTAATGTATACTTATTCTTTTATCAATTATTATTATTATTATCATTATTATAAGAAAGACTTCAATTACATTTCACACAATTTACTTCATCTAAAATATACACAAATTTTTGTACACAAATCATCTATAATATACACAGATTCTTGTACACAAATAACTTCATCTATATTTATACACACAAATTCCTGTACACAAATTACTTTATCTATAATATACACAAATTTTTGTACACAAATTACTTCATCTATAGTATAATTTTTATACTCGATTTTGTACACAAATTATAATTCATCTATAATACACAAATTACTTCATCTATAATAATCATACACACATTTTAGTACACAATTTACTTCATCTATAATACACACAAATGACATAATTCATAATGTACACAATATAACTATATCATATACACATATATAACTTATGTATTTAACAATCTTGAAGTGCTGGCTGATCAAAACTTTGTCTTTAATCAGAACATGCAATATACCATCAACCTGCTGGAACCAAAAGTGCCACCACTCCAATCAGTATAGAGTCAGGTCAGCTTGCACACTGACTCTAAGGTGGGCAAATCCATTACAAAAAATTAAGGTTAAGTGTCAATTTTACAAGAAAATCCAGCACAGATTTATGACTATGATGCCCAATTCTTAATTCAAAACATGACAGGTTCATAACATGAATTTATCATGGTAATAGTTAATGATTGCTGGCAATAACAAAGCATCATTCTCATTTATATAAGATACATATATTAATATAACCCCGGACCTTAATTGACAATTAAGGTCCGTGATATAACCTTTCCTAATACAGTATCAAAGTTATCTATCAATCTAAAGGTGAATAAACCTACTCTCTCTCCCTTCTGGTAAACAAGTTATTCCCAATATATTTACTGTATATCAGGTTTTTTTGCAAGTATTTAATTTTCGCAAATATCTAATTTTTGCCAATATCTAATTTTCTCTAAATTTTCTTGAGTATCTAATTTTCGCTATATTTGCATGCAATGAATATCTCAAAAATTAGATTCCCTTAAGCTTCCCTCAATTTGATACGTGGATTTTGCTAATATCTGGAACATTATTTTTTTATTTGGATTTGCTACCTAGTTTAGTCATATAAATTATATATTGTGATACCTACAAATCAATTTAAAATATATCAACTTTTGATAATCATGGTAGTTAAAGATTTTTTTTCTTTAAGTACATAAAAAATCTAAGGCAACATAGTGAGCAAATAAGTATATGTGTTTACGTTTAATTTACTGATTGTCCGATATAATAAGATAAGCCACACCTTGCAAGTAGGTATACAAATATAGGCAGCTTTACAGTAACATGTTTATAATACTGTAGACGAGACAGTACGTGTGAAATACTGAATTAATACTTGTACACAATACGAGGGTTGTCCAAAAAATTCTTGCACTGCAGTTATTGTCGTGAGAGTTATTGATAAAAACAAATGAATTATATATCACTTGAAGGGGAAATCTGTTTCCAATAAGAAAACAAAAGAAAAAGCCGGTGTCGTGTAAAATAATGGTTATTAAGTTACCATAGTAACGTAATACCGGCGCAATGCAAACAAATGGGTAAGTTCATTACTATAATTGTTTTAATTGTTTGTTGCTTGTAAAGTGGCATTTGCTTTTTATGTTATAATTTGTTTTACTGTCAAAAGAGGAATGATTGATGCAAAGTATTTTGTAGTTTTTATTTTTCTTATGCAACGGACATGTAACATATTCCACCAGAGCACGAATATATTGGACAACCCTCATCACATAGTCCAGCATTACGGACGGACGTCTGCCTGACCGATTGTCATCGTCTACCGACTCTCGCCCTTCTACATAGCGTTTGTGCCATTTAAAAACCAGCCTTCGTGACACTGAACTTGTCCCACTTGCCCTTTTAAGTTCTTTGTAGGATCTGTTGGTGTTTTACCAATATTTGCACAAAATTTAATGATCGTCCGTATTTCCAGACGTTTAGCGACTGTTATTTTCACGTAATTACAATATTGACGGCATCACACAAATGTTTGTTTACGACCGTTACAATAGGGCAAATGACGTCATATTTTCTAGTGACGTTAGGAATACGTACACATACTTTTCCCTGAAATTTAAAGGAATAGGAATGGATGGATTGATGTCTGCCTAATATAAATATTCATCATTTAAAAAGAGGAACCATGACAGTTTTCCTATTGACATCAACCCTATAAGAGAGAAATTCGTGTTTTAAGACACTATTTTTTACTTGAGAAATAAGTTCATGGGCGCCGCCATTTTGGCGTTCTGTCATTCTCGCGAGACAGACGAGACCGAGATTGTGACGTGTTATACCCACTTCCGGTATAGGTGTACACGCTGGTACAACTGAAATATATCTTGATGAAGAACTTATTAAATTTATTGCGTACATTATATATTATTTATGAAAACATCATATGGAATGGCTTTAATTAATTAATTGAAGACGCCGCGACATTAATTATCATTTGTCCGATATTCAAGCTTGCTGATGATCCCACCACATGATTTAAGCAATGACTGCTTAATTTTCAAAGATAAACCATAAATTTAATTTGGGTACTATGAGAAACTTCTTCAAATTGACGATATATCCTTTTATTTTGTACTTAATTTTCGCTAGACATGCTGTCCAAATAGGGTACATCGCCGGTCATGTATCTTTTTTTCAGGTAAAATATCAACTAAATCCAGTATGCTGAGGACGCGATTTTCCGCCATTGACGCTAAAAATGAGAAAGGCGCAGGAAAATCGGCAGCCAGACTAATATCGTATGAAAACAAAACTGTCCGTTAGGTTATTTAGGCACCCAGTCAAAACTGGTACCAACAGCAACAGGTTGCCCATTCCCCTATAATTACGCATATTCTCGGGTTTATCCAGTTCCCTAAAGCTTTTTTTCCACGTTATCTACTTACCAAATTCCTTTCCCCGACAGATACGCATTTCTACTACCGTAAATTTAATCCAATAAAACAAAAAAATCATAAATCTACTTAATATTTAAAATGATTATTGGTAACTGAAAAAAAATGTGTTGCTATTTTATGACGTGCTGTAATTTACTACAGTATAATTTGACAGGTGTGGAACCTAATTCCCCCTAAGGTCATTCAGTTCACTGATGAAGCGTAAAAAAAATAGATGTCTATGTGTGTGTTTGGGTTTGTTTACCCTCGCCACCGGAAAGAGACCATATGGGCGAGCATATACTTCATTTATAACCTTTTACAAAGGGGGAGCTGATGTTTAATTACTTATTGTTATATCCGTACATGTGTTTATGTGCATACCATATCCCCCATGACAGGGTAGTCTCTACGTACAACCTCTGCCATGGGAGGAAGATGGGGCAATCCCATACTAAGATTAAGAATTCTAAAATTAAATTATTAAAAAGCACTTATTTTAAAATTGGCCAAGACGTTTATAGTAGTTACCGTCTTTTATAACAGGTCAATCTAATATTTAGTATAACTTAAGAAAAATAAAAATATTACCTATAATTGTAGAGTTCGCATACTTGCGAAGAAGGCATGTCAGGAACGTTTTCTGACCAATTCAATGTGGGCTGTCTATTATTTATGTTGGTTTCTATTTACATGTTATAAACCGTATACTTTGGGATGCATATTATTAATTACATGTTTGTAATTAGCAGAGTTTGTTTTAAAATTTTGTAAATTTTGTAAGTTTTACCGAACACCCGCTTTATAAAGTTAATTTTGATTGGTTTAGAGAGGATTGCCTCCTTTGTTCTCATTGGCCGAAAATTCTCTGTTTACAAAATAAGGAGGTCAATCCGATTTTGTGATAATTTGCAAATTTTCTTAATTTTAGGATTGACCTATTTCGACAAGTTTGTCGCGCGAACGGGATAGAGATTTAGCAGGTGCCCGTTGCATCCAGTGTATACGTGTTTTTACCAACTTTATTTCAAAATTAAAACAAATATGATAGTTAAAATGTGGTGGAAACGGCCTTATCTATTTATCACTGTCTCATGGTCTATAAATTATTATGCATCTAGATATCACACATAATAATTAATCTTCTATTACTTAAACAATTCATAGAAGAATAAGAAAAAAATCTAAGTCCCAAATATGGCTAATAATAATAACTTGGTTACCCATAATGTGATGAGATAGTCTTTATGTAACATATTTAAGAAAATCTCATGCTTGAGTGAACCCGTGATAAACGTGTTGCTCCATATGGGGGCACGGGTTCACGTTTACTAGTATTAAGGATACTAGTTTATATATACAGGAATAAAAAAGATAGATAATAAATAACACGGGGCGGGGGGCAAAGGGATATATACAATATGGAGTCTTTTTTGACAT